TTTTCCAATTTTTTTAGTAGGATTTCATGATATATTGTGTCGAACGCTTTTGACAAGTCTACAAAGACTCCTAATACGAACTTCTTTTCATAGATTGACTCACTAATCCTATTGACGAGGTCTACGATGGCATGCTCTGTCGAGTGCTGAGTTTAAAAACCATATTGGTTTTCATTCAGGATTTTGTTTATGGTTAGGTATTTATATAAACGATTGTAGATTATTCGTTCGAGCAGTTTTGAAAATACGGGAAGGATTGATATTGGTCTGTAAATATTTAAGGAGGATGTATCTCCGGATTTATAGATAGGAATAATTTTAGCTATTTTTAGATAGTCGGGTACAGTTCCTGTAATTATTTAAAAGTTAAATATTTGAAAATGGGTTTAATTATTTCTGAGAAGACATTCAAAATTATATTGGCACGGATATTATCGATACCTGAGCCTTTGTTAATTTTTAATGTTTTAACTGCTGTTTCAAGTTTTTCGTATTCTAGTTCTTTAAAAACTAGGGAGCAACGAGAGTCCTCGATGTAATTCTCAAATGAATTATTTGTAGGTTGAATTTTAGAGGCGAGTTTGGAACCTATACTTGCAAAGTATTTGTTAATTTTTCAGAGATAATTTTTTATTATTAAACTCTTTTTCACTTATGAGAACTTTTGGAGGTAGTTGGTTCGAGTTTTTTTTATCTTTACCAATTATTTCTTTTATAATATCCCAGATTTTTTTATTATCTCCTTTAAATTTTTGTATTTGCTTTAAAAATATAGTTTTTTGAATTTTGATTTTATTTTTTCAAATAGATTTTTATATTGTTTATACTTAGAAAAATTAATATCGTTTCTATTTTTTAGATATTTTATGTAGAGTTTTTGTTTTTGTTTTGACGATTTTCTTATTCCTTTGGTAATCCATGGAGTGGTTGGTATTTCGCTTTAATTTATTTTTCGACCTTTGGAAAATGTTTATTGTAGAGATTTAGGAAAATATTTATAAACTTATTGTAAGCGGAATTTGTGTGTCCGAGGTTACATTCATGATATATTTTTGACCAATTTACTTTTGGGGTCGAAAATTTATTTATGCCTCTTTTGATGATTTTTATTTTCAAGTTATTGACACGTGTTGCTTGTTGTGATAGTGAGAAGTAAATTGGGAAGTGGTCAGATATATCCGTTTTAATTATTCCTACTTTTAAGGATGGATCTTGAATTGAATTTGTCAATATGTTGTCAATAGCTGTAATTGAGGTGGGAGTTACCCGGGTGGGTTTGTTTATAATTGGGAAAATGTAATGTTGTATCATATCATCGAAAAAAATTTTGGTATTAGCGTGTTCATGATAGCTTAGGTAATTTATGTTCATGTCACCAATACAGAATAGCTTTTTAAGTTCAACAATGCTTTTTGTATATATTTGTTTCATAAAAATTGAAAACATTATAATATCTCCATCGGGCGGTCTATAACAAGAGGATATTAAGAGATTTTTTGTAGTATCATTAATGACTTCAACTGTAAAGACTTCACTATTTGAATCAGAAATAGAAAGATCATTTCTAATTTTTGTGTTTAAATCATTATGGATGTACGTTATTATTTCACCTCCTCTTTTGTTAGCTTTTCTTTCATAAGAAATAAGATTATAATTAGGGATTAGGAGGTTTGAATTTATAAAAGAATTTTCGTCAGAACACCAAGTTTCTGTAAGGCAAATCATGCTAAAGGAATATTTGCATTCGATAAGGAAAATATATATGTCAGAGATTAAAGAGGAAAATATATATGTCAGGAAGGAAAATATATATGTCAAAGGAAATATATATGTCAGGAAGGAAAAATATATATGTCAGGAAGGAAAGTATATATGTCAGGAAGGAAAATATATATGTAAAGAGGAAAATATATATGTCAGGAAAGGAAAATGTATATGTCAGAGATTAAAGAGATGCAATTTCATTTGTCGTTTAAAAGAGGAAGCGCTCTTCAAATTTTTAATATTTTTATTTTTTAATTGATTCCATAATGACGGGCCTTGGCTACTAATTGAGAATTTCGACACTTGTGATTTAATTGTTCTTAGTGAAAAATTGAAGAAAGCTTGATGCCGATTGTGATGATTCACTTCACTTCGTGAGAAAAAAAAATGTTTATCAAAACGATCAAACCAATCTCAACAAAAAATGTGCCTGAAGATGTGGGAAAAATAAGTCAAATTGCAAATGATATTAGTTTTTACGTAAGAAAACTGTTCGTTTATATTGCACAACAAACCCTTACGAGTTGTGGTTAGCAAACGCAAAACAAATTTCTAAACAGAACTTGCTAAAATTTTCTTACTAATCACAGGGTATGAAATTCCCAATTGTTCACTATCATCAAATGATGAAAATGTTTCATCATACTTACCACCTCTATATTTTAGAAATTAAATATGTGAATTATTAGTTAAAAAAAAAACATTTATATAGTGTTGCTTCGCGGCGCACCGTGACTCAGGACGATCAAAAAACGGCAAAATTTATATAAAATTTAATATAACTCCTAAAAAAAACATGTTATATCTTAAAATAATAATGTTTGAGTCACAGATTTCAAATTTGTTTATAAAAAAAAAATTTACGCGCAACTTCGACGCGTCCAATGCACGCTTACGCGTTTATGCTATAAAGTTAACTATAGGCTTAAAAAATAATTTTTTTTTAATTTTTAGAACCTTTAAGACAAACACGTTATAAGGATAAATAACTCTACTTTATATTTTTATAAAAATGTTTTTTAAAGGGCGATTGTACATAGTGAAAAAAACTATATTTTATAACATTTATTTTATCATTTAAATACAATTAATTTGAAATTTCATCTAGTAAAGGTTTTACTCGTGACGCTTATCTTTTTAAAAAAGTATGCTTGATTCTTTAGGATCTGATCTTACTAGAAGGTAGTGTATCTAATTCATCACAGTGTTTAAACTTGATATTTTTGCCGTGTGCATAAGTCTAGGATTTCTTATTTGTTTATTTAAATTCTCCAGTGCATTTTCCGAATATACCCCGGTTGGCAAAGAAAGTTTATGTGATTTAGAAGAACTATGCAGATAAATCCGCAAAGATATAGTTATGAGAATATCACAATCAACTTTAACATCACAATCAACTTTAGTAATTTCAGTAAAAACTTTACTATTTTTAAATGCCCTTTTGATAGTATTGCTATCATCGGCATAACCGAACCCAGTTTTAGGCATGTCAATATATAGGCTTAACCGTTCTTTGAAGAGTACCTGAATCTCTTCATTACTTAAGTTTTAGCGATAATTTTTCCTCAATTGTGTTTGGCTTATACTTTTTAATTTCCATTTTATAAAGAATAAACTCTAAGCACCTTATCCAGCAGTGCAAAGCTGAATTTCCGAGTGCCAAGGCTGACTCATTTTCAGTTTTTGCTTTTACTAAATCAATATTATTTATTTCGTTGCACACATTGCACACATTGCAGGATTGAGTGGATTTTGTCTCTGTAAGTGCGTTAACTACTTTATTATCAAATATTATAAGATCAAACCTATAGTTGACATTAAAGGTCACCATTCTTTCTGATTATTAAAAACTTTGCGAAACATCTTTAAGGTATTTGTTTGATTTTTTAGATCTGACTCTGCCTCTCTGAATAAAATTGGACTCTCTATTTTTTATGTTGTAGATGAAGAGGTGTACAAAACTGACCACTTTAAGGGTTTTCATTTTTCCAAATTTTGTCATATCATATATTGAGCAATAAAGGTGTAAAAATTGTAATATGTTCTTATGTTGCTTGTATCGTATTTCTGCTTACAAATACTTTGCTTGATTTTCCATCAAAACCAATCTTTCCATATAAAACTCCAAATAGTTCGTTATCTTGACCACATTCAGCAAATCAATCATTTCAGTTATTCTACTAACAGTGTTATCTAACATGTTTTGAAGAATACACTTTGCAAAAATTTCAGAATTTTTTTTTTTTTTCAGGATAGCATTTCAATTGCCCAACTAAAAAATCGTGCAAAGTAGGATAAATATTTACATTAAATGTACAAGAGCTGAGTTTATGATTATTTGATATCATTTATTGCTAAAATTTGTGTTTATTTTTAATGCAATCGCTTCCTCTAAACTTATATTAATGGGATAAGTTTTATCCAAAGTGTCATCAACATTTTTTTAAATGGAGGCTTTTTTTTTTCTCGAGCAGCATTTGCAATTCTTGTACATAAGTATAAAAAAATATAACTAAAGCAACCTTTAAATTATAACAATTAAGTAAATCCCTCTAAAATCCTAATTTATCCTCTTCTACTTCACGTAAATTTGAAGTAAGATCTATTCTTTTCATTGTTATTGTTTTTAAAAACCATCAATTTAATAAAATCGTTAATATATCAGAAACCTTTTAAACTACTTTATATATTTCTTTACTTTAAACTGTCTAAAATTCTATGTTATTATTGCTTTAAAAATTAATATATTAGAATTCCTGTATTACTAAGTTACTTTTATATTACAGGAAATAAATAATTTACCATATATTATGGAAATGCATATTCCTTTATTAAAAATGCATTTAATAATGAAATATCCATTACCATTATATTTATTTAAACATATCAAAATACAACTATTTAAAGATAAGAAAAAAACTCAAATTATACGCAATGCGGCTTATACAGATAGGTCTTTTACACGAAATTTTACAATCAAGTGTTTGATTGGCTAAATCAAGTTCAATAGCTTAATTTAAATTTTAGATTTAAAATTTCAAATACTGTGGTGTTTGAAGTGAGGTTCCCGGCATGAACTTAAATTGCATTATATCGCTTCCATGACTATAAATTATGCACTATTTTTTCTTATGATTTTTTATTTTTATGTATGGCGTATGGATTTTTTATTTTTACATATGGCGTATGCTGTTTCTATGGTTTTTTCAATTAATTGAAATGCAAGAAAATTCAAAAGCAGTTTAAAACAAAAATAACTTTTTAAAATATTGAAGCGCTTTAAAAATGATTTACACCAAAAAAATTATTCTTAAACTTTTTATTTTTTCATTAATTGGTTTTGGCAACACCGGGAGAACATATTATGAAAGTTTTGAGACCACAAATGCCAAGCCATCAATAAAAGCCTCTGTTACCATAATGCTACCGCAAAGAAAAGTTGAAGATTGTATGTTTAACTTTTTTAATCTTGATACTTGATCTGTTTTTAACTTTAAAAACTTTATATTATTTAATTTTATGAAGAAGCTTTATAAGAACATTAATTTTATTTTAGCGAAAACAATAGAGGTGACATTTAACAAAGATAGTGCGGAAGAGTGTATTTATGCCTGCACAAAGACAGCGTTGTGTAAGTCTGTCAGTTATAGTCTTCCAGCAACAATGTGCATTCTATCATACAATGATATAAGCAATATCACAGCACAGGAAATAAATTTTCCGGCGGACAGTGATTTTGATACGTACGTTTTTTAAAAGAAGCCTAATTTTTAATATCTGTCATTATTCTCAAGCTCTGATAAATAAAAATAATTTTTGAATATATCTGTATCAAGTGTATTTTAGTAAGATTACAACTTTATTCTATTTCTAATGACTTTTGTTTATTTACGAAATTTTATGACAGTACTTGTATCACAAAACTTTATTTTGTTGTTCTTGGCTTTACTTAATTATAAAATATACTTAATGAAACATAAAAACTTTGTAATTTAAATAAGTCTTAATTTAATGGAATAAATAGAAATAGTGTCAAAAGACTTAAAACTATTATTTATAACTCCATGGCTTGCTACGTCAGCTAATCCTTGTCATTAAAAGCAGTTTTCCAGCAGGCATAAAACATCTATAAGAAGTCTATAAAAGTCCTATGTATGTCAATACATCTATTGCGCATTTGCTTACGTTCTTCACACGTTTTTGTCTGTTGAATAACTCATTAAGTTTACATTAAGCAAAAGCTTGTTGAATTGAGTTTTTGCTTGTGCCTTGTTTTATTAGCTATGCAACACTTTCTGTTATATCTTAATGAGGGTACAGCTTTAAAACTCAATTTAATAATTCTGAGGGCTGGTAGTAATGTTTCCCAAATTTTGTGGTAGCTTTCTAATTCTATGAAGAGCTGTAAAATATCTAAGTATTAATAGTGCCGTGTTGCATATATATAGTGTTCTTGTTGGTGCATTGTCATGGTGCGCATTGTCGATGCTGTATAACGATTTCTTCGCTACAACTTTAAGTTGATTATCGGATCTAAATTGCCGATACTAAAGCTTAAAACTTTTGTCTTTTTCAACCTCTAACTCAGATAGCCATTTCTGTAATTTTTTTTCAAGATAAACTTAATCACTTCCCTTCTTACTGTATAATTTCTCTAATACTAGTTTCTGTTCAGTTTTTTATTGTTTTCTTTTGGTGGTTTGGACAATGCTATAATCTCACTACTACGTTTATCTGTTCCTTTCTTTAAGACTCAACCTATAATTGCACTTTTTAATAATATCTTAAGGCTTGTTGAGATTTCTTGGGCTGGTGTCTTTTTTCTCTCCGACTATGGTTGCACCTTCAATGTAATTGTTTGGTTTTAGGCATGTATGAAAACTTTTATTTCAACCCATTAATTTTATATTTGACCTCACTCTACCCCTATGATTTTCATCTTCTTGTGTATCTGCAATTTCTAATCAAAATCCTTTTTTTTCATCAAATATCACATCCATAATTCATTGGTCTGGTTTTATTACTTCTCCCAAGGATTAGACAGAGCTTTTTGAAAAAAATTATTCCTCTAAATTCTTACAGTCAATTCAGAGAAATAGTTTTATTCATTGTTTGACATCCAAATTACTTTTGTTTCTGTTGCTACAGTTAATTCTTACTTAAACTCTTCTTAGCCTGTAGACCAGAAAATACTCCAGTCACAGTTTTACTAAAATATTCTCCAATACTTTCTCCAATAATACTCCAGTCACAGTTTTACTAAAGTATTCTTCAAAACTTTCTCCAATATTCTTAAAACTATTGAACAAGGACTTAATTTAATTATTGCTTTCTCCTTATTATTAACTAAGTTCTTGAATCCTTAATCAACACGCGACTAACTTAACATCTCGTTCTACTGCTAACTTGTTAGCTGTCATAACAAAAAGATTCTATCTTGCGTTTGATGGGGACATGATGAGCGATTAGATTGTTAAATGGGAAAATACCAAAAATCTTACTGTGGACTACAAGCAGTTTTTTAAAATTTATTTAAAATGTTATATCTCCTTTGAAATTTTTTTTTTTTTTTACATTTATTTCGCTGTTTAATAATAAGTAAAGTCAACTTATATATACAAAAAAATACATACATATCCATAGTAAAATTGTAATTTTGTCACCAGATACCGTTTTATATATAAAATATAAAATGGAATGGATTTTTTTTAATGATCTTTATTAGATAAAGAATTAAACAGACTTAAAAACTTTTAATAAAATATAGTCATTTTTATTTTAAACTAAAATCGAAAAACTAAGAAACTATAAAAGTATAGTAGTATTCTTTACTGCTCTAAAAATTAAAACAAAGACAAACAAAAACAAAAAAAATAAAAAACTAAAAAAAAAATAAATAAATGAACTTAACGACCTAACCATACGCTTGAGTCCTTTTTGATAGGTATTCCATATTTTTAGTCCTCTATATGTAATGCTATATTCCGTATATTTATCAGATTTCCAAGGCAGTTTATATGTGTTACTTAAATTTGCCCTTAGGTTATAGTTTTCATTTACATTTGTTTCAAACTTATTATTAAAGTTTGCTGGAGAGAGATTGTGATTAAATCGATACATGAAGATTATGTTAGGGTAAAGTTGCCGATATTGTACCCTCTAGGAATAAAGTCAAAATTATAGAAAAAATACCAAGTAGAAACAATGAGACTTTTATTGTAATTTATAATTTAGGTATAAACTTTTCTGAAAAAGTTGAAATATTCCAAAATTTAAAAAACATGTTATTGGTACAATTAAGGAAACAAGATCCTTAATTGTACCATCTTGATTTTACAAATACTATATTAATTTTCAGTACATTTTAAATTATATTTGAATAAAATTTAGCTTTTTTTAAAAAAACATTTTTTTACAAAAATATGAAGATCAGCAGTTTAGTTGGTGGTATACGTCATAATACAAATTTTTATATTTACTTTTTAAACTCCGTCATTTACAGGAATAAATGGGGTTTAAATCTGCCTCTGTGATACCCATAACATATTTTTAGGCTTGCTAACAAATTTTTAAAATTTTCCAAAAATACAATTCTTTACAACTAAATAACACACATCTTTTATGGGTTATTCTTTATTTGTAAATAGTTCTGTACATAATTTCAACGGAGTATAAATCCACACTCATTATCCACAATAATATGTAGTAATAAAAAATGTTGACAAGGAAAAAAAATCAATGAACTAGTTTCTTTTGATACAAAAAACTAAAAATTGGTTTCTGCGCTTTTACAAGCTGTATCTCTAGTGCCTCTCTCACTTTTTTGTTGAAGCTACGGATTTCTACATAAAGAGTATTTTTATTAATGGTTCCTAGTAAAACTACTATGACATAGAATTCTCTGCTATTGCTGAACCTTTCCATATTCTTTCGTTTGTATTTCTTTGATGTTGATAAATACAAGATAATATAAATTGCAGGTTATAAAAATAGTGCTTATAAATTTATGCTATGGCGCTTACAAAGACTTAAAATTACACAAAGAAGAAAAAAAAAAGTTTTACATCAAAAGTTGTTCAAACTTGCACATAAAAATTTTTAATTTAATTAAACGCTTGTTTAAAAACATAACATTAAAAGATCATTTGCACCTTATTGCTAAGCACTAAAAAGCAGAATGGATTTGGCAGAGTAAACTTGATTAAATGTGTTGAAGGGAATCGTGTTGGACAAACTATCGTGGTCAAAGCTACAACAATGACGCTCTTATGACAGGTAAATAAAATGGAGACTAAGCTTAGATTAGACAGAGTAAAACATAAGTATTTTTCATTCCTTGCTCTGCACATTCATACTACAAAAAACATCTTTTTACGAAATGAACTCCCCGTTCTTTTTATTAATGACATGCAAATTAAAAGTGTAATAGTTACAAATTTTTGGGGGGCTTTTCATTGATGAAAATTTGACGTAAAAAAGACACATTGAAAACTTCTGCTTTAAACTTAAACTTTTGAAATCTTTTCCAAAAGTATAGAAATATTATTTAAAACAAGAAGCATGCATAATACAGTTTCATTATTTCACAAACCGTGTCGTAAATGATTAGAATTCTTTACCTTCCGAAACTGTAAACGCATCGTCAACAAATACTTTCAAGAACTTTCTTACAAGAAAAACATAAATAAGTAAGAGCATTTTTATTTTACGTGCCCTTAAGAAGTCCTAACGTTATAACACAGAGCACCGCAGAAAAACATTTGAAAGGAAGCTAACGCCTCATTCTTTCCCAATGTTATAAGACTTGCCCTGAGGTGGCGAGGAATGTTTTTTTAGAGTCATGATGAGCCAAAGGATGGATGCAAACGGAAAGATGGAACGTTTTTCACACCAATACAACTTGATTGTCAACTGGATTTTACTAAACTTTTTGTAAAATTTTGTGTACTTTAATATTATTTTTATTTTCATGGTTACTTATTTTTCCTAGAAATTTCTACTCATTAATATATGTCTTTGGAAGTGAGACAGGGTTTTTATTTTCAACTAAAAGCCCTTAAGTGCCCTTTGTTAGATTATTTTAAATGACAATGATTTTTTATTTCAAAAGTAAAAATAATTTTTTTCATAAAGCTTTTATTTTGTATTTTATAGGTAAAAGAAGTGAAATTTGATATTATTTTTAAAGAAATCTGAAAAATGTGAGGTTTTTATTCAACTAAATCAGAGAATTTGAAATTTAAATAAAAGTGTATATTTATTTTTAAAATAATATTTTGACTCTTTATATTTCAAGTATACTAAAAAATAAGTCTGATTTTTTCGTTTAAATTTAAAGACTTCTCTAAAAAAAAGTAGAAAATAATTGTATTTTTTTTGTTTATATATCAACTAAAAAAATGTTCCATTGAGTTCCACAAATATATATATTTTTTCCAGTTAATTAACATTTCTACTTTAGGAATGTAAAAGGATTACTGCGGTCTCCTGCGGTATTGGAAATTATTAAAAAAAACAAATGTTGATGATTTTATAAAAACCTTGTTTTCCGCCATTTTGCTAAGAACTTTATTAACGAACGCCTTTCCAAATAACCTTGACACTGGGGCAATTTGGATATAAATCGTTTTGTATCAAAATTCGATATCTTTAAATAGATTGTTTTGCATCAAAATTCGACATCTTTATATAAATTAAAAAAGAATGATATTTAATTTTATCCTTATAAATCTTTTTAACAAATATTTCCATATTTAACTCATATGACTATATATACTCCATATAACTCCATCTAATATAACAAAAAAAAAAAAAAAACAACCAAAGAATAACAAAGTTTATTTAAATAAAGAAACTTTAGTAAGAGGTTTTTGT